GCCCCATAAAAAAAAAAAAAAAAAAAAAAAAATCTAAAAAAAAACAAGTGAGTCAAGTAAAATTTGAACACACGACTCAATAAATACACCCTTAAACAGGTGCATATGGGAACCAGCAGACAGTGTAGTGACTGAAGTGCTGAACTCCCACATAGCCAACTGTGGATGAGTCCTGGACCAGACATCTTTTTTGTTTTTTTTGGAGAGATTTTCACTGTAGGGCGCGTGCGCTCGCCAGACAGACAGAGAGAGACATAGAGACAGAAAGCGAGAAATCACCCCCCAGGGGGGATGTTCACGCCGCAATCCCTTCTCCTCCATTCTCCTCTCGGGATCTTGGGCACGCACGCACATGCGCCCGGTGTGAGTTTTAAGCCACCGGGTCCGGGACACAAACCGTGGTCGACTACATGGGAGTCCAGCGACATAGCCATTACGCTAACTGCTGGTTCCCTGGACCAGACATCTTGAGAATTACATGGGGTACTTGTGCATGAGTGCCCAGAATCCTGAGAGGAGACTGGAGGAGAAGGGATTGTGGCATGGCAGTCCCCTTTGGTAGAGTGATATCTGACTTTCCCTCTCTGTCTCTGTCTGGGGAATACACATGCCCTATGATGAAGAAAAAAGAAAAAGGAAACTTTATGTATGTGTGTGTGTATACACACACACATACATACATACACATATATAAATTTTTTTAGTAATTTTTGCTATAGGGCATGTGTACTCGTAGGAGAGACAGAGAAACCAAAAGCAAGAAATCACCCCCGGGGGAATGGCCATGCTGCAATCCCTTCTCCTTGAGTCCCCTCTCAGGATTTGGGGCATGCAAGCACATACTTCCTATATGAGCTTGAAGCCTCCAGGTCCGGAACTTGAACTGCAGTTGACTATGTGAGAGTCCAGCAGAATAGCCATTATGCCATCTGCGGGTCCTCAATCTATATACATTTTAAGTGCCAGTGGGCACAAGCTCTGCCTAGAGAAGGACAGAGACCTTCTCTTCCATTTCTTCAGCCTGTTGGGATTTGGGGAACGCACGCACACACCAGGTTTGTTTTACAAGCCACTAGGGCCAGGATTTGAACCACAGTTGGCCATATGAGATCCAGAACCCTAAAACACGAGGCCATGGGCTGGGCCTAAAAAAGATACATTTTAGGATCAAAGTTATTACAAAAATAATCTTGATTTTTTTACTCAGTAAATTTGTTGGTAGTAGTTATACTATACTACTCCAAAACTATTCTGTGTATATTTTGAGAAAGTGTTAATGAGTAAATACGTTAATGTTTGGGGGATCCAGGCTGCTCACTATGAAAGAAGAAAGATAAAATATGGACTAGGGGAAGGTGAGGAAGAACCTTATGGTGTTGGATATTTTGTGTTTAATCACTGAGATGGCATAAAATATTGCCACCCCAGGAGCAATGAGCATACGTAGTAACAAATCTTGTTTTCTTTTTTGTTTTGTTTTGTTTTGTTTTTTAAAAAAAACATTCTTTGCTAATGCACTTTAAGGAAAGTTTCTGATTTCAGGTGGAACAGATTTAAGATTTGAGTTAATCCCACCACCAATAGCAGTACCAAAAAGTAAGGAGGTGCTTAAAGACTAACAGTGACCTATCCAAAGGACACACAGAGCTCCTACTGGCTAAATGCAGGATATCTGAGCATCAAACAAATAGTAACAAATTTTGGCTTAAAATAGAAATCCTTTATATTAAAATCGAGGCAGTTGGGACTGAGAGAAAAGGCATTTTTTTTAGAGAAAAATGATAGCTAATAAATATAAAATAAATAATAGAGTTAGAAAATCACACTTTTTGTAATTCTTGTTTAATAATTGATTCAGAAAACATCATGGAAAGAATCAGATGGGGCCAGTCTGTGGCCTGGTGGTTAAGGAATAGAATTCTGTGTGATTGACCACACTGTTCAGGTCCCTGACCCAATGGTTTGAAAAACACACTGGGCACATGTAAGTGCATGCCCAAAATCCTGAAAAGAGAGAAAATGGAGGAGAAAGGATTGTGGTATAACCATGCCCTATGGGGAGGGGAGGTACTTTCTCACCACCCCTCATCTGTGTCTCTCTCTAGCACTCAAATCCTCTTGTAAATTAAAAAAATAAATAAATATAGGAACAAAACATTTAGATGAAATGTTCACATACAGGATACTTATGTTATTTCAGATATTCTATAGATTAATTATTAATTGCATAAAAATAAGTGAGATGTGTTTACAGTGAAGAAATCTGAGAAATATCACCTTAAATCAAGTGATCAAACTTAGGCTTTTAACAGTAGCACAAACCAATATTTATGTCTCCTGTCATACTCAAATAGAAAGAATTTGAAGGGATCTTCAAAACATTCATAGATAATGTATTATGAAAAAAATAACTGCATAGATTTAAAAAGAATTACATCAAAATAAATTCATACTTTATTTCTACAAATTTTTTAGGTAACCTGGTACAGTATTACCTATATTGTGTTCTTATCAAAAACACTTAGCTTGAATCTATGAAGGTAAAAACATCAGGCAATTCCAGATGTAGGACTTTTTACAGGGTAACTGGCCTTATATTTGAAATGTAAACTGGAACAAACTAATGATCACCAAATGTGATTTATAATCCTTGGCTGGATCTTGAATTTTGAAAACTATAACTTATAAAAGACATTATTGGGGCAATTGGAAAATTGGGATTGTGGACTGTATGTTAGGTTATATTGTACCATATTAATTATCTTACATATGATAGCATTGTGTTCATGTCAGAAAAAGGCTTAGTTCTTAGGAGATATTGAAGCATGTAGGGTAAATTCAGCGTGTCAATAACTTCCAGACAGTTCAGAGAAAGTGTACAAGTTCAGATACACATATATATACACATACATAATAAAGAGTGAGAACAGGAACATGAGACTAACATGTGACATACATAATAAAGAGCGAAAACAGGAACATGAGAGTAACATGTGTCTTGGTAAATAGAGCCCTTCGGGCTTATTTCATTTGTGTTTCAAGTTATCATTAAGGTTAGTTTTTTGTTTTGTTTTGTTTTTCCCATATATATATATATATATATATATTTTTGGTCATCTTTTTGGAAATCTCTCACCAATATCCAGCTCCTTCTGCATATAATAAATAAAAGAGCTGCGAAGAAAGCCATATTTTATGTTAATCTCTGTACAGAGTTCCAATTTATAGGAAAAACATATGAAAATAAAATGGTAAATAAATGTGTAGTATCTGGTTTATAGCTGGCACTCAATGAATGTATGCTGAGTGTGAATGTGTTTTGTAAACTTCTAAATACCACTACAATATTACCTGATCTTAACAGTTACAACAACCAGAAAACACACAAAGTTCTAGACCCTCAGACCTGTTGGAGGATAATCTCTGATAATAAATCCCCAATCTACATTTTGAACAGGTTTGCCACATTCTGCTGTACACTGAAGTTGATATCTTTAGAGAAACTAAGGGCTTCCTTCCTGCCTCTGGGCTCAACCATAAGTCTCCCAGGAAAAATGTCCTCTTCTTTGCCTCTTCCTCTACCTGGCGGATCTTTGGTCTGTTCTGTGGATGG